AGTCATTTGCAACATGAGTTAAGACAAGGCATGTGAATTAAAATTTTGTAATAAAAAGTTTAAAAAACATAAAACTTCAAATGTTTTTTAAAAATATAAAATAATTTAAAACCATGACAAGAATAAGACAAAACACAGCCCTCCCCAGTAAAGACTTTTGTACAAAGACACTTAGGGTGCATCTACACTGCAGTAATAATTCAGTTTGACACCACTTTAAGTGCTGTAGCACTATCCTACAGAATCTTGGGATTTGTAGTTTTACAAAGGCCCTTAGCCTTCTCTGCCAAAGAGTGCTGGTACCTAACAAAACTACAGATCTCAGGACTCTATAGGATGGAGCCATGGCAGTTAAAGTGGTGACAAATTGAATTATTTTTGCACTGCAGATGCAGCCTAAGATAAGATGTTCATATATTTACTCCTCCTACATTATTTCCAGTAAAGTGGTGTCTAACTGCTTCATTTCTCAAGTATGGCAGCTTCAAGGACAGTTACCATTAAACAAAGTGAAATAACCATGTAAGTCAGCAGATTTTGGCTGTCATATAAGGGAAGTAAATTGCTGGACATTTACTGTTTTACTGTAGTTTTACTGAGCAAATGGTGAGAGAGAGAGAGAGAGATGCTTGAGGGATTTTCTGCCTCAGGTGCCAGAATAACTTGCTTGCTGTGCTATCTACTTTGACTCAGTGGCTCCTCTTCATCCTGCAGAGAAGTGAGTAGCAGGGTGCCACAGGGTTCTGTCCTGGGCTTGTTGTAGTTCAACATCTTTATAAATTACTTGGATGATGGAATAGAGGGCATGCTTATCAAATTTGTAGATGATACCAAATTAGGAGGGATAGCTAATACCCCAGAGGAGAGGATCAGAATTCAAAATGACCTACAGATTGGAGAACTGGGCCAAAACTAATAAAATATACTTCACCTGGAATAAAGTACTACATTTAGGCAGGAAAAAATGAAATGCAGAAATACTGTATATGTGACACCTGGCATGACAGTGGTAGATGTGAACAGGATCAAGGGGGCTTAATAAACTACAAGCTAAATATGAATAAGAAATATGTGATGTGACAGCCATGAGGACTATAGAATTCTAGACTGCATCAACAGGAGTATATTGCCCAGACTGAAGGAAGTAGTAGTACCAACCAGTGATGCCACCAAGCTCCAAGCCTGGAGGACCTTTCTCTGACCATGGCTTGGAGCTTGGTGGTGTGGGGTGGTGGTAGCACATTCACTGGCTCGAAAGCTTGCCCATTGGCATGGATGTTCTACTGGCCTGTATCTGACAATGCCACATCTTTGAGCAAGCTCAGTGGGCACCTGAGAAAGGAGAGGAACAAATGCATGCACATTCACCTGCTCACTGTAAACAAGCCAGCATCTCCTTTCTCTGGCACTCATTGAACCTTCTCAAAGGGGAGCTTTGTAAGACACAGCTTGGCGGAGCAGCCAAGCTGCTGGGCAACCTCAAGGGCTGGTGAAGGTATTGCCACCACTACCATAATTGGACCTGGCCTAAAGTAAGAAAAAGAGCCCTCCCTCCAGTCCATTTGCCATGGTCCAGGCCTCAGAGGGAGAGAAGAATCACTGGGCTTATTATCTTTTCCCACTGCCATTCCCTTCTCTTTTTATGTCATGTCTTTTTTAGATTGTAAGCCTGAGGGCAGGGAAATGTCTAATTAACTATCTGTTAACTATCTCTGAGAGCCTTTCTGGCTGGAGAGTGGGGTATAAATATAGCAAATAAACAAACAAATAATTCCGCACCCTGAACCTGGAGGACCTTTCTCTGCCCACTGAGCTGTAGCTCATCCCCTTTCTTAGGCATTTGGGGAGCAGGGTGTCATCCGATGCAGTCTGCACTTCCTAGTAAGGTCCCTGAAAAGGTCTGGAAACCAAGGCCTATAAAGAATGAATAGTAGAGTTGGGCATATTTAGTGTGAAGAAGAGTAGATTGAGAAGTGTGAAGAAAGCCCTCTCAAAATAGCTGCAGATATGCCACATAGAACAGGTTCACTTTCTGCTGCTGTGAACTCTAACATGAACACATGGATTCAGATTACAAGAACAGAAATTCTACCTAAATATCAGGAAAAAATATTTGACCCTAAAGGATGGATCAGATGGGCAGGAAAAAGCAGGTCGACCCTGCTTTTTCTGAAAGCAGTTTGAATCTCTGCTGTCCACACTGGCTGCTCCCAAGGTGACCCAAATGAACATGGCTCAGCCACATGGTGCAGCATAAAGCCATGCTGCTGGGTAATATTTTTTTTTTGTCACCTCCCCACCATCCACGTGCACCGTCACACAAACATAGTGCCAGCAGCTGCCTGATGCCTAGATGATATCCCATTGGATGGCCACTCCTTTGATCAGCCACACAGTCACACCTGCAATCCTCCACTGGTACAGGGCATCAGAGTATTGGTGTGCCCAATGAAACAATGGTAAAGCACAATCATGGAGACCCTCTCCCTTCACCCATTTCATTCACTTGGACTGTCTAGTTTAATTACATCCATTGGAGGTGTCACACTTTCACTATTTTGCTTTGCCGCCCTGACCAAGTAGGGACATTGGCTCTGTCCTTTTTAAATGCACGCCTACACTGGTGCACTTATATGCAGTTTTAAAGTTAGGATTAGGATAGATCACTCATTTTGTAATTAATAATATCAATGTTCTTTGCTGCATTTCCATTCCAACCTGTCTTCCAGAGACAGATTCACAGCTAGTCTCTCATTCAGTTACTGCACAAGCCCAATCCTGGACAGATACGAAACCAGAGCTTGGAAAATATATGGGGTGGTGTCTACAACTCCCAGAATATTCTAGCCAGTATGCCTGGAAAATTCTGTGAGATGTAATAAAAAAGTAACTTTTCCAAGCTCTGCATGAAATTATATCAGGCTTCTTATAAACAATCTGTGTATGAGGTTGTTAAAGCAGTGTTTTCCAGTTTCTAGAAATCATTTAAAGTAATATAAAATGTCAGGCACTGCTGCTGAAATAGAAAATAGGCTTTTTATGTCTTTGTGGAAAAAATGATGCACTCTTTACAAAGTTGCATGAAAACTAATAACCAAGCTGTGCTGTGTTAGCAGCAATTCTGAACAGATCATTGAGGAACATTATGGAAACTGATATTTGATTCAGGGATGTGGGGTCTTTGGGCTGTTTTTTGTTTGCTTTGGTTTGATCTTCTTGTTATAATAAAAGTAGATCCAATTTTACTGGGCTGCAGATAAGAGAATAGTGGAAAATGTTTTCAAATAATGCAATAGACTCCACTTTTTAATAGAAATGGAAAAGAATTTTGTTCGAGTTGAGGTAGAAGAATTTCAGTAATTAATGTTTTAATTGCCTGTATTAGGGCGTTTTCACACGGGGCTTTAGGTGGACGCAATCCTACCTCCATCCGGCCCCAGTCCGGATCCTTTGCAAAAATTTTCACAAGACATCGCAGCAAGCCCCGCCTCATCCAGTGCCATTCCCGGCGCTATCCTGTGTCAGTCCGGGGCCTTGCTCCGTGTGTTCACATGACGTCGCAGCAAGCCACGCCCCTGCCCTGCCCCATCCAGCGCCATCCCTGGCGCTGGGCGGCATCAGCCCCGGTCTTTGTAATTCCTTTTTTTAAAAGGAATTAAGTTGCTGCTGCCGGAAGCAATCAAGAGGCATTCCGGAATGCTGCTGCTTTCACAGGTCTGAAGCTGCAGGATCCATTCTGGAATGGCTCTTGATTGCTTCCAGGCGGGTTTGGACGTTCAAGTGTGAAAACATCCTTAGAAATGTATGCTATTATGTGTAGAAAATAGATGGTAAGTAAGTGTCAAGCAGCCACACAGAAAAGGATTCTGGGAAAGTTTTAAAAGATGGGGCTTCTTTAGGAATGTGCAGAAATGAAAAAAAAATGTTTATATATAGTGTGACCTTTGGAGGACTCTGCTGCCTGGCAGAGGTGCCATAAAGGACTAAAAGCCATAATAAATCATTGCAAAGAGACCCTGAAAGAGGTCCTGGCAGTACCGTCTCTGCTGATAAGGAAGACTTTGGAATGTAGTGGGCATGGCAACATAGTATCTTAAATATATTTTAATGTATTCTGAATTTTGGACTCTGATTGCTTAGGATTCTATATGTTTGGAGTTTGAAGTGACCAATAGAATGTAAGCTTTAAATTTCTTTGTTTGTGGTAGTATAAAACACCCCATGTGCCTTTCTTCTGGGACCAATGATCTGAATGCTAATTCCATCGGGACTTGCCAGCAAAACAATAAATCTGTGTTTTTAAACTATTCGTAATGTCCCCTGTTTGCTTCAACTCTGCCAAGGAACCTTGGTTGCTGTGAGATAATTTGCTTACAGATTGTTTTTTGCACTACAGAGTCAAGATTCTTATATCTTCCACATCTCTTAAGACTTATTGTGAGACAAAGTACATCTTGCATCAGATATTCTTACATTTGTGAGGTTTGTAGGCTTCTGTAAAATATGTCTTAAACAGATTTTTTGTGGCTTTTTCCCATTTTTAATATTTGAAAACTTTTTAATTTTATTTTCTTCTTTCAAATGAGCACCAACACATATCGTAAATAGGACAAACAAGCAAAAAAATGCTTCCTTCCAGCTAATACTGAAGTACTATGTACAATAATACAAACATGGCAAAAGTTGAAGACAAAAAAAATTCAGAAATCAAACTTCCAAAAACAATCAACACTTTTTTTCTTACCAAAGCAACATGACCTGAAGATATATGCCAAATTTTTGAAAGGCGAACAGCCAAAATGGGGAAAAAATTGTAGAGACAAGCTCCACAATGAGGCTGAAACATGTTGGACTCTTTTTAAAAACAAGTGAACAGTTGACCATCTCAGAGCACATGGAACTTGTCTCCTTACTTTTCTGCTTTTAACATGCTTTTTAATATGCCAAAATGGCACGCAAATGGGGGGAAAACCCCCACAGAGACACACTTTGGTTTAAGAGCTAGTATAGTATAGTGGTTTGAGTGTTGGATTAGGATTCTGGAAGACCAGGGTTCAAATCCCTGTTCAACCATGGAAACCCAGTAGGTGACCTTCAGCAAATCTGCCTCACAGCAAGGCAGTGGCACACCTCCTCTGAATAAATCCTGACAAAGAAAAACCCTGTGATAAGTTTATCATAAGTCAGAGTTGACATAACAGAAAACATTTTGTCCACTGGAATAAATGTGCACAAAAACACAGGCAATAAAATTTCAAATCCATTAGCAGCAGTAAAGTAGTGTATTAAGAAAAATGCAGACATTTGATCCTCTAAAAAAAGTACAGGTGGAAAATGTATATAAATGCCCACTTAGAAAGAAGAAACATCTCACAAGTTCATAAAAACAAAGGATGTGACAAGAATGAAAGTGGTCTTTAGAGAAAGGTAACAAACTTGAAACTACAACAAAATATGAAATCCACAAAACAATTATTAATATTATTTTAGTAGTAGTTGTTATCATTATCATTATTATATATTTTTATATCCCACCTTTCTCCCAACATAGGGACTCAAAGTGGCTAACAACAAATTTAAAAACAATACAATTTTAAAACAATATAAAATTAAAATGTATAAATATATAATTTAAAAAACAATTAAACAATTCTAAAAGTTAAAACAGTTATGAATTAAAATATAACATGTTAAAAATGTTGTTGTTAATTGCCCTCGAGTCGATCTCGACTCATGGCAATCCTATGGATGCGACATCTCCAAGACCCTCTGTCCTCCACTGCTCTGCTTAAATTCTGCAACCCCTTAATACCCGTCACCTCCTTAATGGAAGCCATATATCTAGAATGTGGTCGTCCTCTCTTCCTACTTCTTCCACCTTTCCCAGCCTTATTGTCTTTTCCAATAAGTCTTTTCATCTCATGATGTGCCCAAAGTATAAGAGCCTCAGTTTGGTCATTTAGGCTTCCAGATAGGTTTCTAGTTTGATCTGATCTAGGACCCATTTGTTTATCTTTTTGGCTGTCCATGGGATCCTCAGCACTCTTCTCCTGTACCACATCTCAAAGGAATGGATTTTCTTCCTATCATCTTTCTTAATTGTCCACCTCTCACATCCATACATGGAAATAGGGAAACAATGTATTTTATTATTCTAATTTTTGTTCTGAGTTGTATATCTTTGCATTTTAGAATATTTTCTAGTTTTTTCATTGCCATCCTCCCCGTTCTTAATCTTCTTCTGATTTCCTGGCTGCAGTTCCCATTTCTATCAATGTTTCATCCCAGGTATTAATATTAATATTTTAATATCAACGTACAATGGCTAGTAGAGTGCACTAGAGAATTCCAAAAGAAAATCATCATGTGCTTTATAGACTATAGCAAAGCATTTGACTGCATAGATCATGAAAGGCTAAGGAAAGCCCTTAAAGACATGGGAGTGCCAACACATCCGATAGTCTTGATGAGGAATCTGTACTCAGGAGAAGAGGCTACCGTCAGAACAGAACATGGAGAAACAGAATGGTTCTCAATTGGCAAGGAAGTCAGACAAGGCTGCATCCTCTCACCCTATCTGTTCAACATGTATGCAGAACATATTATAAGAAAAGCAGGTTTGGACACAAAAGAAGGAGGAGTGAAAATAGGAGGAAGGAATATCAATAATCTAAGATATGCAGATTACACCATAGTACTTGCACAAAACTTTACAGACCTGGAACACTTACTAACGAAGATCAAAAAAGAAAGTGCTAAGACAGGCTTAATGTTGAACATAAAGAAAAAAACATATTAAAAATACAAACCTTAAAATATAAAATTCACAACCTTTGAAACCCAGTGATACTATTACTGGCCAACTGAAATGCCCAAAACATATCATGTAAGCTTTTAAAGTTTCACTGGCTTCTTTAGCAGATAAAGATGTTAATCTTTGTTGTTATTGACTGTCTTCAAATTGGCCTTGACTCATGCTGACCCCATGAGTAAGACACCTCCAAGACCCCTTGTCCTCAACTACTCTGTTCAGATCCTGCAGGCTCAGGGTCGTGGCTTCCTTGATTGACAATATCCATCTGGTATGCAGTCTTCCTCTCTTTCTACTACCCTCCAACATTCCTAGTGTTATTGTCTTTTCTAGTGAGTCTGTCTTCTCATGATGTATCCAAAGTATGATAGTCTGGATTTAGGAGATTATCGCACCAGCTGTTTTCTTTTGATCTGGGCACAGACTGAGACCATGTAAAAACAGACATTATCACACAGCTTCATGCCCAGATCGGAGGCATCCCATACCCAATTGGGGCTTCTTCCATACTTATAAAAAAATGGTTCTTTTCCATTCATTGCTCAGTACAGGAAAAGTCCTGATTGGGTACAGAATGTCTCCTATCTGGGCACAAAGCTGTGCAATAACATCTATTTCTACACAGTCTCAGCCCATGCCCAGAAGGGAGAGGAGGGAGCCGTGCTATAATCTCCTTAGTCAGCTGGGCTTCAAGTGAGAGTTCATGCTTGATCTGCTCTAGGACCTATTTGTTTATCTTTTTGGCTATCCATGGTATCCTCAGCACTCTTCTCCAGCACCACATCTCAAATGAGTTGATTCCCCTTCTATCAGCCTTCTTCACTGTCCAGTTCTCACATCTGTACATGGGAATGGGAAATACAATTGCTTGGACAATCTTAACTTTAGTGTTTAGTTTTATATTTTTGCACTACAGGATCTTGTCTAGTTCTTGCTCTTCCTAGTCCTAGTTTTCTTTTAATTTCTTGATGGCAATCTCTCTTCTGATCAATGATTGATCCAAGGCATGGAAACATGGAACTATTTCCATTTAATCCATATCAAGACTGAATTTATGTAAATTTTTTCATAGTCATCCTTTTTATCTCTATGATCAAGATTAAGTCTGTCTTAGTACCTTCCTATTTGACTTTCATTACAATTGTTCTAAGACTGTGTTGTTTTCTGCTAGTTTTCATACATTAGAAGATAAATGAAGATAAAGTCACAGGCCAACATTTTATCTGAGATGTTATTTCTATTGTCAATTAAGATGGCATAGAGAAATATCAATGCAAGCAGAGGCCACTTCCCTTCATGGCCATGTGAGGACCAGGGACAAAGGGCAATACAGCACAGGAATAAAATTTCAAACCCATTAGCAGCAGCAAAGTAATTTCCAATGAGATCCAGGCAAACTCTGTCCTGTATGTTGCTAATAGCACCTTCCCTAGGCAAAAAACATTGAATTTCTCAAGAAGTCTCTGTATTGTTACATCTGGAAAAAACATTTAGGCTGTGTAAATAGAATTTGATAATTGTACTAAACAAAAGAGTTATACTTTTGTTGGAGGCAGAGACTACAAAGAATTAAACCCCCTTTTGTTTAAGTTTCGTCTGTTGTGGCAAAATTCAGTATGTTTAAATCCAAGAAATTTATTCAAGCATAGCAGTGTTAGCCATACAACAAAATACAACAAGATCCAAATTCCACAAAACAGTGATACCTTTATTTGCCGACCAAAATTCACAAAATACATCATGCAAGCTTTCAAAGCTTCACTGGCTTCTCCATCAGGCAAAGGTGTTGACAATCATATAGAAGAAAAAAAGTGACGAATTTGGAGTCACAGGCCAACCTTTTATCTACAATGTCGAATTAAACAAAATATAGGCCTGTGACTCTAACATCATCAGTTATCTTCTCCTGTATGATTTTTAACATCTTTGTCTGATGAAGAAGCCAGTACAGAATGGCAGTGTTTATTGAAAGTGTTTCAGACTGCAGCTTTTAACTGTAAGGAGAGTCAGCTGACTTAAAGATAACGTCTAACATCTTTTATTTCCCCAGAGGGACTTTTTAAAAATCCATTTCTTTTCATGTAATTTAACTTTAACATATTTTAATTAAGATGTTATATATTTTGTCCATCTGTTTTGTTTTTGCTGTGACAGTAACATTTTGATTATTACTTGCAGAGAGCAATAAAGAAGTATTATTATCTATCACCATTAACAGCACTAGGTTCTGGAATTTTGGAACATAACTCATGTTGACACTACTACAACAACATTCTATGCTACATACCCGGAAATGGAAAATCCCTGCATAATTGTATTTGAATCCTTGGTCCTTTGGAATAACATTTTTCAGGAACCGCTGTTGCCGAGTCAAAGAACCCACAGCTGCTAGGACCCAACAGTCACCTTGAAGAAGGAAAGACACAAATTGTCACTAACTTCAAAACTAGTTTCCTACATCCTTAGTAAATATCTATTACTGGAACATTAAGAACATAGGAAGATACCCTATAAACATTTTCTTCATGTCCATCAAAATGGTCAGGCAGAAGTTACATACATAAAACCTGTATACACATAAACACTGTCCTCATGATCAGTTCTATGCATTTGTTAAAGCACAGATCTTACATATAATGCCTGCAAACATACGACTTCACAGGTATAAGATCTGTTCAAAAATTCCATTCAAAAATTCTGAGTAAGCACCAAAATTTGGCAGCTGGCAAGTGGGTTCATTCCTGAGACTCCCATACTCCTCCACTGTACATTTCACATTAGATCCAAATAAGGGCGCAGAGGATAAATTTCTGTGCAATGAAGATAAAAAATAATGCCAAGCCAATTACATTGTGACAGAGTTTATCTGCTTCCTGTTCCATTGCAACAAATAAATAGAATTGGCAGGATATGCTAACAAAGAGGAGATATTTTTCTTCAACTGCAGTTCACTGGGCTCTAAGAGACAAAAGAGAATTTGGATCTTACCAATTCTTCCTTGAAGAATATCGGCTCTGCTCACACCATCCACAAATAAACAGGGATCCCTCATTATTTCCTTTAAAAGAGAGAAAGCAGAGAATCAAATGAATTTCCACCTCTTTACACTTATATTTTGTTGAGTGAACATAGTATGTCACTCCTCAACTAAGTGATTGTGTACTCAGTGCAATCGGAAAAATGATTACTCGGAAAGAAGTTCCTTTTTCAATAAAATAATCCACAGCAAGTATGATAACAGATGCTTTTTATATACATTGGA